AATAGAATAGAATAGAATAGAATAGAATAGAATAGAATAGAATAGAATAGAATAGAATAGAATAGAATAGAATAGAATAGTCCACATTTTAATCATTGTACTATTGATCTGTAGGTTTTATGAATTAAATAAAGCAGTGGCCTTACTCTAACTTTCAAGCATTCTAATCAGGGAGTTTTTGATAAGAAATATGATTTATATAAAAGGAAGAATCACTGCCATGAATAGTAAAATGAACATACACAAATTCATTGCAAAAGGGAAGGGAGGGAAGGAGGGAGGGAGGGAGGGAGGGAGGGAGGGAGGAAGGAAGGAAGGAAGGAAGGAAGGGTATATTTATGTAATTTTAGCCCTTTGTCATTCTTGCAATCTTCTGAGAAACCATGGGTTGGTTTGGAGCAACTTAATGTTGCTCCAAACTTGGCAACATTAAGTCTTGTGGACTTCAACTCCCAGAATTCCTATTTCCTTGCATGCTGGCTGAGGAATTTTGGGAATTGAAGTCCACAAGTCTTAATGTTGACAAGTTTGGAGCCCCCTGGATTACACCATACACTATTGGTGCAATTCAGCAAATTTGCTCAAGCATTCACTAAATGCTTCTTAGATTTTCTGGCAATGAACAAATGAATTTACAATATGAGTTATATCTCATGTAAAACAGTATGGTTTGTATCTCATCAATAGAACTTTTTGAAACTTTCTAATGATTCTTGAGGTGCTACAATGTCTGTCCTCATTTATTGTTTTTTTTTAGCATTATGATTTTTGGATGATACTAGAAGCTGCTGTAAATCAATAGTGGGGCAATAGTTATAGAATCAATTAGTCTGGGAAGTGATAGAAGTGATAAAAATTCAAGCAACATGTTATTATTTTTGCCAATAATTATATCACACATAAGCATCACAATAATAACTAAGCTGAACTCATAGTATTTTATTTGTAGAAATGTTAATGTGTTTAAAACATGATATACATCTGTCACTTAATATATAAATATTATAGATTCTGGCTTTTTGGTTAAGTAATTTGTTTGTCTTCAGCCTTACAAAGCTTTCTTTGCTGCAGTCAAATGGATTGTGACTGAACTTGTCTTGTAAGTAAAACTTGTTCTGATTTGAAGATTATACTTTTCCATCTTTCATTCTTCTTGTTGTACCAATTGAGTAATTTATGTACATTTTCAAATCCTTAGTGCATAATTTTAGCGGTTTAAAAAGTACTTAAAGCCTTATGGATTTCACAGTAATCATTTCCAAAATATAAACTAATAATGCAATTCAATACATGCCTACTCAAAAGTAGAATCCTATTATTTTCAGTGGAGCTAACTACTGGGTAATTCAAATATAGGACTGCAGCCTAAATTTATTACTGTGGTTGCACTTAGATGTAATATAAATATTTGGCTAATTCAAGTTCTGCTTGGGTGGGCTACTAATGTGTGTATTTTCTCAGAGGATCTTCTGTTGTTCTCTAATTTCTTAAGTGATTGCAGTCCTATGATTGGCATATTTGAAGTTCATGCAAGATCTAGTGGTGTTTTCCACATAATATAGAGCTCCTGTCAATTCATAACAGTTTTAAAGTAAAAATGGATTATACACTTGAGTAGTAATTTCTTTTGAATAACTGGACTGTACCAATAAAGCACAAAGGAGCTTTAACACTTTTGTGAAGATCCATTTGGTGGAGAATAGGAATGGTGGAGCCATGATTGAACAATCTGTAATTGGCCAGGCTTATTACTTTACAGATATTTATGACATAGATTTAAATGAGATTTCTCCTAGTGGGTAGAAGGAAATGTGTGTGTATGATTTATTGCAAACTAAATCTGCAAAATTCAAAATAATATTGAACGTTGATGATCACTGTACAAAACAATATGGGTATTATAGGGTGAAATTCAGAAAATTTATTGCTTCTTGGTTGATTGTTTATCATGACTGTTTTTCTTTTCAATGTGAACATTTAAAAGCTACTGCCATTGGGAAAGTTGTATTTTTGTATGAGAAGGTTTGATCATTTGCTGATAAAATCAGAAATAACATTTTATTGTTTATGAGCCTATTGTGAGAATTTGAGATTTTGAGTATGCAAGATTGAATGTATGCATCATGGCTAAATTTTAATCTCACAATCAAAGTGTTCTCTGTACTGAAGCAACAGCTACTGCAGCTTGTCATGCACTAGAAAGTGCAATAAGGTATTTTTAAAATAAAATTCTTGGCTACAGAACAGTCCAGCAGCGATACCAATTTCAACAGAATTTAAAATTGTAAAATGAATTCAGCTGGGAGAAAATGTACAACTATATCAGACTATATCTCATCATGAACTTAGCTTGATTTCTGTTTTTGAACATGCTAGAAAAAAGTACTACTGACAGTTAATGGTATGAACATGCCAGATCTAATCAAATGATATATTTTTGTGGCTTAGGTTTCTGGTGGAATTTAATCTATGCAATTGGTGGCATTCAGATCTTATAGCAAAGGGTAAGAATAATTTATATTAACAGATATATTAACACCTGTGTTATTTGCTTTTATAAGAAGTCAATATTCCACAAAGCTTGATGCATGACAGAAAGCTCCAGTTTCCCTAGGGTTAGGGTTATGCACAAAAAAGAATTTATTTATTTTTTAGGTTGGAGTAGGACAGTTTAACAATATTTTTTTTTATCATAGAGGGCTTTTCTATCAGTATTGTAGTGATGTGATCATTACTGCATTGTGTTTATTTTTTTTTCAAACACTGGAATTTCAGTAAACCAACAAGTTTCTTGGAGATTATATGAAACTTCTACCATTGCTGGAAAAGCAGGGGAGAGACAGTCATTACACTAATCTTGCAAGAATCAATCCCAGTGCAAAAATCTGTATTTCACCCAGAGTTTTGTAGCTCCTGTGTAAGCTCCTGTATGCACCCACTAAATACATAATCTGGACAGAAGTTGTAAAAGAGAAAAAAGGAATTCCTATTTCCTAGTGGTGGGCTTGTCCAATGCAAGGAGCAAATTAAGTACATCCATTGGTTTTTGTGGTTTAGGTTTCTGGTGGAATTTAATGTATGCAATTGGTAACAGTCATAAGTAAATAGCCTCTTTTGGATAGAACAATTTTTATGGCACATTGTACTGAAAAAGAAATCACCTTGGTGGCTTGTCAAACAGCTACCCCAAACCAACGCAAGGCACACTGTATCATCCGGCTCACTCCCCAGAGCAACTTGGTTGAGATAGATAGTTATGGGAATTTAATTTTTTTTTAAAAAAAGTCTATGTAACCACTGTAATATTTTTGCATGATTTACCAGTCTTAAGGAAGAAGTCTTAAGCTCCCCTAGTGCCTGAGATTTAAATCAATTGCAGTATAAACATATATGGGGAGCCAGTTTGGTGTAGTGGTTAAGGTACCAGACTAGAAACTGGGAAACTATGAAATCTAGTTCCATGCTAGGTACAATGCCAGCTGGGAAACCTTGGGCCAGTCTCTCCCCCCCCCCCCCCGCCCGCTCTCTGTCTCTCTTCCTCCCCACCCTCAGGAAGCAGGCAATGGCCAACCACTTCTGAGATCTTCCCAATAAAATAGCATCTTTATTTAACTATCGCAAATTATACTGTCTCACAGTGTCCAGTGAAATGGTTTGCTATCCACAACTCTTTGTTTTGGAAGAATTAGAAATAAATATGCGTTGCGGATATATAATTAACTTGCATCCTTCTTTCCTTACGGACACAGGTTTGCCATTACCTCAGTAGATAACGATACTGCCTTTTAGAATTTACTTTACACTGGAACCTGAGCACATAATTACACACTTCACCTGCTCCCTTTTGTTAATTACCAGAAGGCTGCAAAGTACCCCCTCATTCTGATCACAAGAAAGGCATCATTTTAATGCAGTTGATGTTTATAGTCTATTGCGTGAGCTGGCAATCATAGGAGAGATGATTACCAGCACACATCCAAATATAGAGAGCAAGATGTTTTATCCCATCCTAATGAGATTTATGAAATCTCATTTTCCTTTTTATTTTTTGGCTGGATTGGAGGAGGGTGGTAGTTCCTGAATATACCTTGCAAAACAGAAAGAAAATATTTACAGTTGTTTGCATCCTATTTTTACTTTGACAAATTCAGTAAATTCAGTAAAGAATATGAAGCACTGATCATAGGAGTCCCAGATGTTACATTCAATAATTATATGGCATCAGGTACTTCTTATCACTATACAAATAGACACACAATTTACAGGCATGGATATATGTTGGTTTTAAAGAAAACCTAAAATAAAACTTGAGGATATAGGATTTTCTTTTAATTTTTCTTCTTGACTTCAACTGAAAGAAAATTGGACTGGATCCAAACTTGTCATAATTAATATAGACCCATTGTAGTTAGTGAATGTTAAACTGGTTGGCACCAACCTGATTTTCATGTTTCTTCTCTGACAGAATTGTCATAATTGGTCATCAATATTTTAAATAATAGCTAACTAGGTAAGGGACATGGCAGAAGATGGTATTTATATTTTTGCATATCTTGTAGCCTTCTAATGTACACCAAAATAATGATAACAATATATTATAAGTAATTGGATATCAAAACCACACACATTTAAACTACTAATATTAAAATAATTGAATGAAGTGGTGGGCAAAATGCAACCCGGTGATACGATATGCATAACGCAAAGAACAGCAATAAGGAGAATATTAAAAATAATAGATTTAAAGCTTCTCCAAACAGGTTTAAGATAGGGAGGGGTAAGGTTAAACAATTAAATAAGTTTGGCTTTTCAAAACAGCTTTGAGTAAATTATAAAGTTGTATTGCAAATACAAAGTATGGTATTAATGCCACTCTTGTCAGCTGAATGAATGTTACCAAACTGAGGAGAACAATACTGCCATAATTTCCCATGTCTAACTAGGTGTTGTTGTTTTTTTTTTAAGAAATAAGGGTGGGAATGACTTTGAAATGCCACTTCAGTTCCACATCTATATTGTTGCTGATATGTTCATAAATATTACATTTACTTATGTATGCAGTTACCACTGAATCAGTATCCCATGTCTTTCTTATCAAACTATCATCAGAGTAAAGTCATGTATTATAAGGATATCCCTTAGTACATTGTGTCTTTTTAAAATGTCTTTAATTATAAAATAAATCTTATGCATTACCAGCATAAATCACAGGGTGGCAGGAGCACTGTAATGATTTCACAAGGTCCAAAACATTGATACAGCATCTCACACCGAAGAACTGTAAATGGAGTCATTATCAAAACCCTTCAGTCTCCCTTATTTTCTTTAGCTCAGCGATTGAAGCAAACCCTAGAGCCTTGTGACACTGAATATCCAGCTTTTGTTTCTGAACGCACAATCAAGGAGACCACAGGAAATATTTATTGCGACAACTGCTTCAAGTAAGTACTTAATTCTTTTTCCGTGGAATTGGTTGAAAAATTCTAAACTTCATGCTAATCTCATGGAAACCTGGCTCTTAATATTACTCGAATTCCATCAGAATGGATAATGCTTAGACGATGATCCTCATAAATGTAATAAGTAAATCAGGTAAAGCCATGTGACTTTAGTGCTTCATAGGAGCCCTTCCTTGGGATTCTATCTAATGAAGTTCCATAATTCAAAGAGAAATCAATGGCAAGACATATAAACTGTTAGCAACTGTTTTATCTGTTACATTAGTTGATCTTCTCTTCAGTCTATACAATTACAAATTTAGACACAAGGGAAAACACAGCCCAAGTCAAGGGGGGAGGTATATGAGGCCCCCTGATTATACTATATAGGAGGCATATTATCCAAATCAAATTGATGCATTCCTGTTTCCTGATACAGTAGAATTATAGTATCTGTGGTGAAGGAAAACCTAAAACTGGTTCCAAAATTAGCAACATTTTGCGAATTTATGTTGGAGTGACCTGGAAACTTGGCTCACCCTTTGTTCCAGGGTGTAACCCAGCATAGACACATGTGTCATGATTGGAAAAAGGAACTGAAATATTCAGTTCTGATATACTAGAATTGTTGGTATATCACGTTAGACGTAAAGGCAACAGATGTTTGACACCATTGTAAGTGGGAAAGTTTTGAGATGTTTGAAGCGATCCTCCTTCTTTTGTACATTTTCCTCTCAAAACTGAGAATATTGATACAACAAGAGACAGGTATTCACAAATCTATGCACAGAACTACATGGAGCTTAGGAGAAGAAAAACACTAGCTATTTATTTCCTTTTCTGGTTCTGAAGAGAGGAAAGGAATGTTTTAGATATGGACACATTGAAAACTGAGCCAGGAGGGAGGTCAAATTAGTAAGCTAGACTTAATTGGTTGCTAATTCTCTGCATTTAGGTATTAGCCCAAAAGAGCAAGGTCTCTCTGTAAGCTCTAAACTCTCAACACTATGAACATAAACATGTTTATAGTGTCTTGATACTTAAATAGGTTGCAAATCAATCTCAAAGGCATCTTAAATGAGGTAGGAAGAGAATGGTCACCTGAACACCCTGAAGTAACTCCTCCTAGTTTAGTCAGAAGCAGATGACATTTATTAGCTAGTTTCTCCAGCAGTCAATTTTCCAGTCCCTTGGTTAACTGCTTAAATTAACTGCTGATGTAGTTGCCAGATGTAGATACTTCTATCAGATTTTTGTTCTTCTGTGTTTCAGAGCTGCACAATGAATACATGAATCTTTGTGAAATTTTACACTTAGAGAATTTCCTCACTAGACGATGTTTTATACATCCTAGTATCTTTTTTTATTATTGGTTTCTGTCTTCCCCATTGGTGTTACATTTTGTACCTATTAAGTTCAGTAATATTATAATGCTTGAAAATGAGAATAGGTTAATTTGACTGGCTATCTCCTCAAAAAAGAGAAAGTTGGTGAAAATTTGAAGTAGCAATAATCAACACACAGATTTTTATACTGTAAGATCTGGTGCAAAATTACACATTCTTTTTTTTTTTTTTTTTGCAAAATTAAGAACTGGGAAAACATTTCAAATGTGATATGCTCATCATTTAATGCTTTGTGTATGATTATATAAAAAGGAACTGTAATTCAATATGGACAGCTTTTCCCTATGTGAAATAAAAATATACCATTGATATTTTCAAAAGTATTTTCAGGTCATGATGTATACTTGGATGGAATCTGTAGGAAAAATGACTTTACTTAAAATTATGTAGTTTTAAGAATAATAAGTTGTGATAAATTTTCTCATAAAATCATTTCATATTCCATAGTAGAAATAAATATTCTATGCTAATAATATGTTGATCTCAAGGCACCCATGGTTTTTTTTTTCACAGCAAGGAATAGTAAACCAAAGAAATAAGTGCTAAAGACTCATGGGAACATTCTTCATGGTATAATTTATACAATTACTGTCATTTGCAATCACTGAATGGTGACATAGGGCAGATTCTCAATGTTGTGCTTCTGACATCACAATGTTTTTGCATAGTTTTGCTAGTTCTTTGTGGAGTGGGAAGTTACTTCCATTGAAAGAAAGAGGGAGAGAAAAGAGAGAAGGAAAGAGAGAGAGAAAAGAGAGAGAAGAAAGAGAGAAAGGAAGGAAGGAAAGAAAGAAAAGAATTCAAAACACTGTACCCGACAGTTAGGCTTCTATATAAACATAAAATGTGGGAAATAGTGTTGATGGAGTAGTTTATTCATAAAACAGATTCCATAAATGGAGCCTGAGAAGGTACAGTTACTGTTTGAGACTATACCACATCAGAGAGAACATGTTTAAATTGGCTCTGTGATTCAGATGTCACTTTTTTCTAAGTGTGTCCCACACAATGTTTTAATAATATAATCTGAAAGCTTTTGCAGATTTCTTTCTGACAGTTCCAGTCTGAAAATTAATTTAAATAATATACATGTGGTAGATAAAGGAGGGGGGGGTGCAGTAGCAATCCCTTGCCCAATTTCCTATAAGGACCTATTGCCCTATTAAATCTATGTAAGTGTGGTGTTCTCTTTTTGCCATGATCTTGAACTTGAATCATTGCAAGTCACTGCACACAGATCTGCCCTTGAAAGTGATGCAAGAAGCTGAAGCTAGCAGAAATGCCATGCTTACCAGGAAAAAGGAAGCTACCATTTTGGGAATAACTGTATTGGCTCATGGAAAGCTTATGGCTCCAGCTGGGAGTGCTAGTTATAAAGCTCTTTAAATGTTGCATTTTTATTTCTTTCTGTCTGCTCCAGATACATTTACCTACCTAATATTGTCAGCTCTATGATGTAGATCAGGTCAGGAAACTGACTCCACAAGAAGGCTAGGCATATACTTTTGTGAGATAGTCTGTAGTAGCAGAATTTCACAAATCTTCAGCAATTAAAGACATTTAAGCTTATTAGCTGGAAAGCTGAAAGCCCAGGTTTGAGACCCAAGAGCTGAGCAATAGGATGAGCGCCTGTTCCTGCCTCAGCTCCTACCCACCTAGCAGTTTGGAAGCTTGCAAATGTGAGTAAATAAATAGGTACAACTTTGGTGAGAAGGTAAGAGTGTTCCAATGTGCCTTTGATGTTTAGCCATGCTGGTCACATGATCACAGAAAATGTCTTCAGATGACTCTGGCTCCCTCAGCCAAAAAGAAAAAAGAAGAAGAAAGAAATGAGCACTACACCTTAGAGTAGGACACAACAGGGAAACCTTTACTTTTACTCTTGTGTTTTACTTTCCCTTTCTTTTTTATCCATTCATTCGGGGAGGAACCAGCCTGAATCTCTTCTTAGACTTTCCCGGGGTTTAAGGGATGGTTCTGCCCTTTACGGAGCTATCTCCATTGCTCTCTACAAATGTGCAGGGCTGGGACAACATTCAATGCGTTTCCAACTTTGAAATGAAAAATGGATGGATGTCCAAAAGCAGGTCCTCTTGGCACGGAATAACCTTCCCACCCCAATGGTCAGTTTGGTCCCTTCTCAGTTGCCATCCCTACATTAGTATTCAGGCAGCGTTTTACCAAAAGGCTTCAGTGAAGGGAGAGCTGCTAGGTGATTGGAACCAGCTGCAAGCAGAACCTGGTTGTCCAGGGGTGAGATGATATTTAAGTTACTCAACAGTTTTCATTTGTGTTTTATTCTGCTGATTGTAAGCCACCTTAAAATCTATAGGAACTAGATAACTCAGAGGTTTATCCAAACATCCAAACTGTAAATAAGTCCTTTGAGGAGGCATTAAATTTAATTTACATAGAAGCCATTGTTAACCTTCCACAAGTTCTCTTGCCATGTTTACATTATATGAATATCACTATTTTCTGTTCTTGGCTTCAAACGTATGTCAAAAAGCCATTTGTACAAGATATAAAATGACCTCATCCCAATAAACATGATGAGTTGTAAGATTCTTCAGTGTGGGAGTAGACAACACACAATCAAATCCTGGAAATAATTAATCCACTATTGAATATGTAACACATGCGAGTTGGTTTCTTTCCTCTCTTTGTATTTGACAAAAATGCATTATTTGTACTTCATGAATTGCAGTGTTTACATTATTTTCCAAAATATAGGGGCCTTGGAGAAAGAAGGAGCCTAAAAGAAAATAAGAATTATGTAGGAATGCCATTTTGGTTATGATTTGGCAGGCATAATCAATAATTTTTGACATCCTATATCCCACTGATTATGAAATTAATCTTCTAGTTAAAAAGCAAGTCAGAAGAAGTCAGGCTATATTTTTTGAACCTCTGTGCCTGTCAACAAGAATTAGAAAATTGGGTATTGTTACAATGCTTTTCACATTTTCCAGGAAGTGATTATTGACTCATTCATTTCCATTTTTAAAGATAGAAGCATCTACAATAAACTGAAGAAGACAGTGGTCCAAATCTTATCTATGAATTGTGAAATCCTAAGCAGGTTTAGGTATAAATTCAAATGAGCTCCACAAATTTTATTGCTTGGTTACAGTTTCAAGATTGCATCATCGGTCCACCTGAAACTCCCAATAAGTTTCTTTTCATTTTTTATTCAGGTTCACCGGATTTATCTTTAGGTGAATAGCATTTTGCTGTTGTTTAAAGAATTTTCAGTTCCTTTTTGTAGCCTAATTGATAAAGGTTTGTTTTTTTATGTGCTTTTTTTAGAAGAAAAGAAAGCATGCATATGCTGCCTCTTATCTAGCAGAACCTTGTAATTTAAATAAATACATAACTGATTTAAAAATAGAGGAAGAAAAGGAAGGGGCAATTTGGCAGTTTTCCTATCATGTTGAATATAGTATATAAAAAAAAGAAAACATCAAAGAGAAAAAAAGGGAGTGAAAAAAACTACTTCAACTATGCAAGAGGTTAGAAGTTAATTATGAAATATTTTATATATACAGTCCAGTGAGAATGGTTTGATTTACAAGCCTTTAAATCCCAGGGCCAAAT